GGTGCTTATCTCAGAACTTACATTTCTTGTCAATACTGGTATGATCTTCATTGGCTACCATTATGCTGGTGTTATGTACATTGATCAACTTGGCCATATTGCCAGAGCAGCTAAAAGTGATTATTAAATTATTTTTATTAATTTTTTGGAGCATGTTATTAATAGCAAAGTGCCTGACTATTAAACTTATACAGGTTCAGGTGATATTTGCTCTAACTACCTTACTGATTGATAGGTTAAGCCAAATTATTTTCCTATCTTTTACTACTGGTACCTCACTGCTAACTTCCCCATACTATTTCCTATTGCTATTGTGTCTGCTTTCCACTAGAGCCTGCTTGTACATGGTCTTGGCTTCGTCAAAGATAGTTTTATTAGCCAAGCTTCTGGATAACCAATCATACAATGGTTTGTTAATGTGTGTCAGTTTTGTGAGGAGGGTGGATTTTTATTAATATACATAATTTTAGCCACACTTTTTTGTAGGGCTGATATGCTTTCCCTGTTTATATCAAAGAACACATCAAGGAAGTTTACTTCCTTGCTAATATGAGGGGTCTATCAGGCTGTTATTCAGAATAGGAACAAGAAGTTTTACATTGGAGCCGCTGAAGGGAAGTGGAAACAAAAGTTTCTTATGTAAAACATTGGTGGTAGGTGAAAATATAACATCTACTTGTCTCCCATGCAAGGCTAGTCATCTTTGTGTGAATTTGCTATATACAGCATGTCCTACCATATTTGGTATCCATCCCTCCTTTTTTCTCCCCCTCCTGCCACCATGATAAATAATATCATAATAATATTATTATTTTTTTAAATTTTATTTATTATACAATACCAGCTGTGAGGCGAACCTTTTCTGAAGTGTTTTATTGCTTCTTTCTCTGCTTTATGGTTGTGTGACTAACTTTTTGTTACAGATAACAGTAAAATATAAGTACTAGTTTATTTATATATATATATATATATATATCTTGTCATCCATTAATTATAGCTTTTTATCTCACTTAGGAGATGTTCCAATGATCCCAGTTCTCCCAACACTCATGCCTTCATATGGCACCTTTCTTCAAACCTACTTTTTAAAACCATTTTATCTTAAGCATCTTTGGTAAGAATCATTTATTTCTTTGAAAGCAGAGAAATTATTTATTCTGCAAAATTGACATTTCCTAGTATTTTCCTTTTTGTACAATTTATTTTACTTAAAGATATTTTCCCTAACATGTGGACATTTGAATCTACCTCGCTCATTGATTTTCAATGTACTCCCTACCTTTCCCATCTTAGTATCACTTCTACCTTTGAACTATCCTTTTTTTTTTCTTTCTAAGAATTGCCTGATGCTGTATTTTTATCTAGCACCACTCCCTGGCTTTTTTGTTATACTTAGGCCCCCACCCCGCTTGTATTTCTTCCTATTTTCTGTTCATATTGTTTGTGAAGCTATTTTTATTCTTTTTCAGTTTTACATTTTTTGGCAAATCTCTGTGGATGAAACATTGCTTCAGAGTCTTATTTGCCTGAGAGTGTTAATCTGAAGGTCTGAGACACATGCATTTAATGAAAGCAGATGCATCTTCAGACAGTTTCAATATATGTAATTTTTAAGCATGTCTGTCAATTTTTGTGCATTTTGGGCCTTGTATTTGTATGCATTTTAAAATTAATTTTATATAACTTATAGCTTGTCATAGTTTTTTTTTTTTTTTTTTTTTTTTTTTTTTTGAGTGACAAAGGTTTTGTTAACATTTCAGTCCACACAGATCTTTGGAATCCTTGAGTTATTTTTTTTTGTAGACTTGCATGTTTAAGAAGAAGCTTACATGAAATCTGCTTCATTACATATATCCAAAAGATGAAAAATAATAAAAAATATTCCATTTTCTGCCAAGCAATAACAAAAAAAATAGAATTAAAAACATGTTTTATTTTTTCTGATAAATTGTCAAGAGTGCACAACAGAAAATGATTGCGGCACATACTAAGATCTTGTTCACATGAAAGAAATGGTTGGAAAAAATATTAAGACTACTAGATAAACTAACAGAACATCACCTACACTGATGAGACATTAATTTTCTCAAGAAAGTTTTTAATTTTCAAAGCGCCAAGAAAATAATTCAAAGATGTCATGATATTTCACAAATTGTGGAGATCACTAACATTTACATCTGCAGAAGATTCAGCTGAAATTATATGCAAAAGACTTCTGGGTAATGTGCACACATGTCACTGAGCCTTAGTCCTTCCATTTAATAAAACAACTTGTTCAACACCAGGAAAAATTTTCCAAAAGATCCAAACAGATATCCTACATCCATTCTACTTAATTTTATATATATGTGTGTGTGTGTGTGTGTGTGTGTGTATGTATGTGGGTACTTCCAAAGATGTGCTAAAAAATGAGAGTACAAGATGAAAGAATGCACCAAACTTAAAAACAAAGTTTTATCATCAAAATCTTTGTTATTATTAAGAAGAAAGACCAAAGGATATTTTGATTATTTAATCATATTTTTTAATCCTTTTTAGAACCTTTGAAATTTTTATATTTCAATAAGTGACCATAAATTAGTATGGAAAATTTTAGCATCTTTTTTTTGTAGTGAAAAAATTACATTGTTTCAGAAATTCTAGTAAAATCAGACACTTACCAGATTTTGATGAAACTGTCAGGACTTATTCACAAACAAATTATTTTAGAAACTTTTTTTTTTTTTTTTAAGAAAATCTTGGTAAATTTTTTTTTATTATTATTTTTTACATCTGTTAAACTTATTTAAATTTATGAAATTTCGCAAAATTCATTTTTGTAGAGCTTAATGTTTATATTAGTATAAGCCCAAGTCTTTGGAGAATTTAAATCATTAATTTTTTTTTTTTTTAATCATAAAATAAAAAAAAATGCCATATAACTAAGACATTATTTAACTAAAAAAAGGCTTTTATGAATAATATATATTATGAACAATAGACACATGGCCAAAGTAGTTAGAACATTCACTTTCTAATTATGATATCTGGATTCAAATCTCACCATGGTCGGTTTTTTCAGGAAGGTGATTTTTTGAGGTTATTGGTTTGGAGGAGGTGATCCGAGCGTGCAGCATCTTTGGAAAAATCCAAAAAACCATTAACACAGGTTCACCCAATCTTGAGATTGAAATTGGGTAGACAGAACCTTTTGGGGCCATCAATGGCTGTGCTAGCAAAAAGTCACAAGTCATCACGACTGAGGGTTTGTGCGTGCTGGCCTTGTTCAGATTGTTGATCAAGCTAGATAACATGTTTCCCTCCCAGAAACTGTAACTGAGGTCTGCTCAGCATAGTTGCAGTAGAAATCACAGGTGGGCTCTGTGGATGCAGAACAAATACAAATGTGCCAGAGCAAACGTCTGCAATAGGGATTACCTAGCCACCCTAGTAGATGGGCATCCGTGAATACAAGTGGCCAGCCATTAATATTATGATAATTTTTTTTTGATAAATAATGAATTTTTACAATAATTGGTTTTATTTATTATAAATTTGAAATATAATAATTAATGAAGTTTTAAATCTTTTAATATTCTGTATTAATTTGTAGTATTTGTTATTAAGTAAAAACTATATTTACTAATCATATAGGAAACACTTAAAAATTCAGCTATCCCACCAGTATTTTAAAAAGAATTTTAAATTTATCTTGTGTGTATAAATGTGCTGATTTTTTAATTATGCATGTCCATACACAATCTTATCAGAAAATAAGAGCAGTAACAATAGTAAATTTAAAATTAATTTTTTAATAAAGAGAATAAAATGTTGTGTTGATAGATTTGTCAATATAGTCAATTTTAGCATTTTTTTCTGATAAAAAAAAAAATCATTCTAGTCAATTTAAATTCAGTTTGAAATACAGAAAAGTATTTTGCTTATTAGAAATATTAAATTTAATCTATTAGCTTGAAATTAAAAATAAAAGCTTTTCTTTGGAGTTATATAAAGTGTGCGGTGGATAAATTGTCATCTAAATTATGCAAAAATGAACACTGCCATCTTATTTTAATAGACAAATTTACCAATATTACACAAAAACATCTTGAAATACTAAATAGTAAATTTATTCAATATAATCGCCATTGGCTTCAACCACAGCTTCCAGGGCACTTCAGAATCTCCTGCAACTCTTCTGGATAGTCTCCTTGTTTAAGTTGTGAATGCTGCCATAATCCTTGCCTTCAGTTCATCATTGGCGTTACAAGGAATTTTTTTGGTCTCTCACTCAACTGCACTCCATACATAATAATCAAGGGGGTTTTAGTCTGGGGAGTTAGGTGGTCATATCTAACGGTGTGATGTGGTGGCAGAAATTGTTTGACAACCATGACTGGGTTCTCCTCCTTGTGTGGCATGGTGCAGAGTCATGTTGCCAGATATAAGGTCTTCCAGCAGCCACCTTCTTGACTCAGGGCAGCACTACCTCCTCAAAACACCATGTCTAAGATTCTGTGGTTAGATGAATGGAGGCATAACATCACCATCACTAGTGATCACTCCAAACACCATGATGTTGACAGGATATATGATCCAACTCTTTTCGAATCTTCTGCACTATCCTCAGATTGACACCCAAACTCTAGGAAATGTTCATATTGGAGCTTCCAGCGTATAATACCAAGTAGTACAGCATGCCATTCCCAAATTTCTGGCAGAATGAAATGTGTCATGGTGCTTTTTTTTTCTCAGACAGTGCCCAACTGACCCAACTATAGTGTGAAGTTGACAAAATCAAAAACAAACAATGCACAAAATTAAAAATATATAAAATGGTGACAATTTACTAATCATACCCTGCATAAAGAGAGAAATAGGGAGAAAGAAAAAATAAAATAGAGACAGATATAAAATGAATTTCTATTCTTTTCTGATTAGACAATTCATCTGAAAATATGTGAAGTATACACGAATACACTGATTATGAATGGAATTGTTGAATAAACAGCAAAACTCACCTTACTGCTTCCTCCACGCCCTACCATCTTCAAGATCATATATGTCTTACCATTGACAATCAAAGATCGAGGTTTCTATAAGAAACAATAATATTCAAAACACAGTGTACACTCGTGCCCAGAGAGCAGTATATAAATTTATTTGTAAATATTCATCAGCAGTTAGAGAAAAATACATATAGACATGCAAGCATAACACAGTGAACAAAATGTTGAAAAAATAAATAAATATATAATTCCATTTTTTAAACTAAAATAAAAATTAATCATATTTTCAAACTAGAATTTGTCTGTCTTCAAAGATTAAACATTTGGACACACAATTTGCTTTTCTTGTGAATAAAAATATGTGGATTACATAAAGACATGCAAGAAACAATGAGACATTGTGGAGAGAAGGCATTTCAAAGAAGTTATTTATGAATAAGATTTTTTTTAATAAAACCCATGTCCAATATGCCAAGAATTTTCTTTAATAATGAATCAATTATGTTTTTTTGTTTACTCTAAATTGAGTAAATCTAAATTGGAATGTATTTCTACCAACTGACATTTTTATAAACTTTAATAAAAATGTGATTCTTGTTGATGTGATTTTAACAAAGTGATAAAATTAAAAAAGGAAATCAGATATTTTAGCAAAATTGTAATCTTTGAATAATGACCAGCCAACATACTAAACAAAAATGAAAAAACTCAAATCATCTCATCTTCTTACCTTGCCTTGAATTGGCTGATTAAGGCTCACTGTGTATGTTACTGGTCCTTGCGAACTTGCAACTGGATTTTCTTCCCTTGCAACCAAAAAAGAATAAATAATTCAATAATTTTCATGTGAATAAATTTGTTTCTCTAAAAAGCATGAAAACAATATTATAAACTCTCTCCTATGACTTCTTGAGGGGAAAACTAAAGAATAGCTTTTATTCTTTGAATTTTATAGATAAAACATCTGACATTATTTTGACTAGTATTTTTTCTTATTATTATTTCTCTTCTAATTCTAAATTAATTTTAAGGACTAGAAGACCTACTAGTATTTATTATAAGCAAACATCTTAACTGTACAGACTAAACCCTAATAACAGAAAATTTAGAAAAAATAAACTATTAAGACATAGATATCAATAAAAGCACAAAAAGACTAATCACTATTTTTAAAAGAGAATGCATGGTTATCAGTAAAAGTGATAGACTAACAGATTACATAAAGAGATGGCAAAATTAAATAAAAGAAAAAATTTGATAGTGCATATGAACAAACTAGTAAAAGAGGCTTTTCAGAAATTGAGCAAGGTATTAAAAGCTAGCAATGGGATGATTAATTGGAAATATCATAACTTTTGGGGGTATTGGAATTGGCATCAGAGAATTTTTAACCTAACTTACAATTCCAAAAACAATTCCTTGGTACGAATGATAAAAATATTTATCGATTTTAAACAATCAGTAAAACTAAAATCTACAGATCATAATAACACCTAAGTATGATGTAAATTTATTTGGTGTAAAAAAAAAAAAAAAAAAAAAAAAAAAAAAAAAAAAAAAAATGTTAAGTTTCTACTCAGACTTTTAAACTAGTGAATTTTATGGAATTTATATTTTTAATTTCTTTTTAATCATTAATTCACTCATTTAAATTAATAATTATAATTACAATTATGTGATATAAACACAAAATGTATTTATGCTGTTGTTCTGCCAGGCTCTCTTTTAGGACAATTTTTATTATTTTTTTTTAATTTATAAAAAATATGAATGTATGGAATTCCCACCAATGTCACATTTGATTTCTTCACATAAAAAATTGACCTTGTGTCACAAATTGTCCTTGTGGTTAAGCAGTTAAATTACAACAATGTGTTTTTATAATAGCTTTAAACCATAAAAATCATATTTTAGTCTTGATTATTGAAAAGATTTAAAAAATAGTAATTCTTTTTAACCGAGACTTAAAAAAGTAAACATTCTTTTTATATATTTTTTCTACGAAACTCATGTTTTAATTTCTGAAAATTTTATAGCTTTCCAAACAGATTTTCATCTCTATTTACTTAAAAAAAAAAAAAAAAAAAATTTTTCACACAAAAGTTTGTATCAAAAAACCTAAAATTTAATTTCCATCAAAAATTGTATTTAATTTTATTTTACTAATATTTTTCATTGGCATAAATGAACTTTCCTGTGCTAAATTATTATGGAATTTAAAATATTTTGAACTTTTTTCTCATTTATTTCTCCTTGGAGCCAAAAATGAGATGCAAATTTTATAAGAAGTGTATAAAAAAAAAAGTTAAAAACGAGCATTTTTATCCCATTTTTGTCTGATGTGATTAAACTATAGTTTTTTTCTACTTTTAATATGATTTGTTTTAATATTTTTAACATAAAACTAGTAAAATTTCACCTTCTAATAATCTAATAAATAACTGAAAAAATTTGATCCCAAGCAAAAAATACAGATTTAAGTTGTTCTCATATTTTTTTAATCACTTTTAATTATTTTTAATTTTATTTTAATGTTTTGTAACAGTTGAATCTCATACCTTATAAAATGATCAGTTTTTTCTTTTTGTTTTAAATCAAGGGATATGTTTTAACTATGTCGTTTCACTTTTACTCCTTTTTCTTTTAACAAAAATAATACACTTTTTGATTCTTTTTAGAAATTATTCAGTTTTTTTAGTTGTGAGAAATTTAATTTAGACAGTAAAACTTATTACTGATTAAATTTTTTAGATAAGACTGAAGACCCTTTATTATTTATTTATTAAGTTACTGTGATAGTTTATATTTGATTCTTATTAAATGTCTGTAAGCAAATTTAAAATTTGCATTTATTTTTTATTCACTGTCCTGCAGGATTAGGTACTTTTTGCACTTTATCAAAACATATGTTAAACCACAATACATAGGATGATGCCTTTCTGAGAGTATTATTGTTGTAATATTATATATATATATATATATATATATATATAAATAAAAGGGTGTCTCTTATTTTTGAAGTGCATGCTGAAATTGAATCGTCACTTCTAAATTTGTTCCATTCATTGAAAAATGCCACTTATTAAATTTGAAACAGATTGCATAATATTTAGAGAGGGTGCTTTTGATTGCTAAAACTTAAAAAGTGAACAAAAAAAAAATACACCCTTTATTATTCTACAATTAAATAGCAAACCATTATTAGTTGGTATGCAGATTATACACATTAGAAAACTAGAAACATTTTTTATCTAACAGTCAAAAATAAAAATTTTAACCGATATTTATTATTTTCAGACTCCAATTATGGCAAGTGTATCCAATGCCAAGCAGAAAAATGTAGTTTGGAAGGTTTTTAAGATTTCTGATGATAACCAAAGTAAAGCAATATGTCAACTGTAGCTAGGTACTTAAGTGATTTACTTAAAGAAATTCTCCTCTTTATTGTTTAAACTCTTAACCAATTTTTTAAATAAAAAGGATATCTAACTTTATTTCATAAACTTTTGTATTCATTTTTCTACTAAGTGTTTTATTAATAAATGTATTTTGTTCATTAAGTTTCCCAAACCAAATGTAGGGTCTGAAAATAATGAATTTTAATCATTGTTGGTATCAGAATTGGAATCCTTATCGGAATTGGAAAATTAGAACAGTATAAGAATTGGTAATAATATTAGTATCACCCCATCACTAATTAAAGCATCAAAAAATATTCCTTAGAGAGTGAGCTGAACTACTGCATAATGTCCAACCTCATATACAGCAATAAGTACATGACAATTTTGTGATGGAAGAGAAAAAAAAGAATATTAAATGTGCTTCTACAAATGAACATTGAAAAAACATAAATGGAGTAAGTGAGGAACAAATACACTTTAAGAAGAATAGGAACTACAAAGGAACTGCTACTAACAATCAGAAATAGACAGGTGGAAAAAGGATGAAGACTTGGAGAATTTAACACCCATAGTATGGTAAAGACAAGAAAAGCAAGAGAAATCAATGAGAAACCTACGTGACAAGCTTGAACAAATAGAGATCAACACAAACACCACAAAAACAAGCAAAACTTTGACCAATAAAAGACAGGAAGCTGTGGAGAGCTATGATCATTCATATCTTGAATGGGATATGGCAAATTTCTTAGATAAAATATTATCATTAATCTTTAACTAAAGTCTGTTGCATTTTATTACAATTTTCAGATTGTTCTATAATTTTTTTTTACTCTGTAACTTAAGTGAACAGTATAAATAAAAAATCATAAACTTCCAGTAAGATGTGAACATACGCACCTTATGTATGGGAACCTGTCTTACTATGACAGCACTCCACCTATTAGACCACAAAGACTTACACTAGTAATGAAAACAGAAAGTTGATTATAATTAAATAACAGCCAATTAAACTTGTGATCCAATTTGGTTAAGATTTAGTTGTTTTTTTTATTGTTTTTTTTTTTTTTTTTTACTACTTTTCAAAGTGCCTATTGGTTAGTCTGACTACGATGGGATGCATTTAAGATTTTAGCAATCTACAAGCATTTGGGATTGTAAAGTCCTAAAATTGTGGCTAGCGAGATTGAAAGAAAAGTGAAAGGAAGAAACAAGAAGAATTTGCATTTCTATGTATTAATTATGCTGTCGTTTAAATTTCTTAGTTGAAACATTGGCTTTATTATCATGAATCTCATATCCTTATTCTACAAATGTAAAGCAAGCAACATGAATCTATAATAAAGAACAAATCTCTGGTCTGAGTTCCAATGTACACTGATCAGAAAGTCAAAGACTATTACATCTACTACTACCAGTTTAAACAAACAACATTATGGAAAATAATTGAAAAATAAACAAATACAACAACAAGACTTATTTAAACGATGCCTACTAGTGAAGATTTTCTGGCCTAATCAGTAAATTCCTGTCATGATAAAACTGATTCCCAAGAATAAATAATACAAGTTCAGATCTTGCTGAAGATTTGGACTTTATTTCCAATGTATGCTGTTTATTTAAGTAGAATTTTCTTGCAACACACTGACGCATGTTGAAATCCTCACAGTATTTAGTATGGTTGAAGTTATTGTTAACATTTTTTTGTCAAGATTTACAAACTCTACGTTTCATTCAATTTTGCAAAATAATCGATGAAATTTGATTTGTTTAAAGAAATACTTCAACAAAAATGTTACACCACGATTTAAGAATTTCTTTAACTTTATAGCACTTCATAGTAAACAATATCTAAAAAAATTTTTCCTTTGTAACAGCAAAGAAATTCTTACAATTTCTTACTCTTGAGCATGCAACTGACCATGTATAAATATTTCTTTCTGGAGTAAAATTCCAACTTTTTAAAGCATTTGGCCTTGTGATTTTAGAGGGTGCCACAAATGGGCCAACAGAAGTCACAAAATTTTATATATAGATGGCTGTGGAATCATGATTTATGTGTTGCAAATAAAGCAACAAAATCAAAAGAAAAGACTGGTCAAAATTAATATCAGCTTCTGTTCAGAAAAAAATGTATTGAAAAAAAAAAAAAAAAAAAAAAAGTATCTGATTAAAAAAGTTTTATTCACAAGAAAGGATACCCAATATTGTCCATGTAGTATAACAAAATAACACCGGTAATGTACAAATTCATTATGAGCAATATTCATTAAAATTTAATTTCTTTGTCACCATTTAAATATATTGCCCATGTTGTCAAAAAACCATTAATCAAAGCTGCCAATGAAAATTTATAAGATAATTTTAAAAAATATATCTTTTATTAAACAAAAAGTTAGGAATATTTTACAATTCATTCATTATTTGTTCATTAACTTTGTAACTGTTTATTTAAAAAAATAATTAAATGCTGTCAGGTTTAAATTGGAAATGCTAAAACATTGGCATTTTTTTTTTTTTAATTTTTTCTAATGCTAACAATTACAGATGTTTTAATTTTCCAATGTCTTCACTTATAAAAAGAGTAGTGAATTTAATTTTTTATCAAAACCTTCCTTTGAACATGCTGAATCAGAATGCAAATGGTCTGAAGGCTCTAAATATTAAAGTTTATGAAGTTTAAGCCAGACACACACACAATGAATTTTATCATGGAAGAGATTCTAAAATAAAAAATAAAAAAAAATATAAAATAAGAAATGCTCAAATGAAATTCAGACTCACCGATTCTGTTGAGCAATTGGTTTTCCTTGAGCAGGCTTCTGAGGTTGCATCTGTGTTTTGGGTTGCAGTGGTTTTGAGGGATTCTTTTCTAATTGGGCTTGATCATTTGGTCCCTTATTTATCTTTCTTTTGTCCATTAAAGATTGTGGTGCTACAAATTCATTTTCACATCCTTGGGCATTATTCTGCAATGGCTGTTCCTTCTTTGGTGCCAATACTACAGATTGCTGAGATGAAGAATTGAATTTAACATCAAGCCCCAAGTGATGTCCATCAGAATTAGGTTTCGGTTTTTCATTACATGAGAGGGATAGGTTGCCTGACATCAATTGCTCTCGTAAAATTCTGGGCTTCTCTTGATTTGCATCAGGTTTACATTCTAAAATAACAGCTTCACCTGCTTCTCGTAATTCATCATGGGGCAAAGCCTTATTTGGATGACTTGGGGTTTTATCAGGCAAAAACTTTTGCTGTTTATATGCTTGACCAGAGTCTACTAACTTTGCCTTTTCTAGTTGTTCAACTGTGTGGGTATCAACATGTGGTTTCACTGTTTCTACTGCAGATTCTGATAATCCATCTGGTTTAAATTTAACCAGCTGTGGGGTGACCTCAATAGGTTCTGATAACCTTTCTTGAAAATGGTGTTGGGAACTTTCAATGTGGGTTTTGAATTTAGCAGGAGTCACACATGACGAGGATTGGTTCTCTTTCTCACAGCTGACAGCTGCTGCTGAATTGGATTGAAAAAGAGCAATGTCTTGTTTATCTCCATTATCATAATGGCTGATATTTGACATAACTGGCTTTTTGGCTAGTGAAGAAGAGGAGGACAAAGTTGATTCTTGGGGGATTTTGTGTTTTGTTGCACTTGCAGTCAGAATATTGTCAACAGGCTTGCTTTCAAAAAGCACTGTATCATTTATATTTTCCCTAACAGTAATCATAGAAGCTTTCAGAGTTTCACTCAATGTCGAACTATCACAGGTGGCAGGACTACTGGCCTTAACAGCAGTGTCAAGAGAAGTCCCAAGACAACGACGACTTGGAGGAGGAGGAGCAATGTTATCTTCTTTGCTGGCTGCAACAGGCGGTGTACCGGTGCCTGGTCGAGGTGTATCTGGATGACATTTAGCCTGGGTAGGTCTCACAATGTTTGTCACAGGTTTGGGCTCAACAAAAATATGAGGGGCTACATTTGTGCTAGAAAGCAAATTGTCAGTCTCTAAAAGAAGCTGATTTAATGTACTTCTGCTCTTGGACAGGCCGACAGAAGAAGCAGAAAGTTTTGACTTTTCCCCTGCAATGCAAGATGTGGATGCTGAAAGAGTTGATGTAGACAGAGATGAAGAGGCAGACAAGAGGTAAGGAGCCTCCCCTCTGTTTCTCATAAAACCAAGACTAAACTTGGAAAGAGCAGGAAACTGGGGGAAATCATTATCCTCTTTATCAGATTCTGTGTCATTAACATTTGAATTGATCTTATCTTGGATATTTCTTTCATTTATTTGGAATATATTATGTGACTCCAGGTCAACTTTATCATTTTTGGCACATTTTTGACCTTTAATACTTGATTTACTACTGTCAATGGAATCATCTTCTTCTGTGATGGGATCACTCTGAAATTTATTGTTGAAACTGCGACCAACCATAGCTGAAAAGAAAAAGAAAAAAAAGTATGGTAGAAAGTAAGAAATTCTGCCTCCAGGATCTGTTTTAAATGTGTGATAACAAAGCTGCCATTTTTCCTTTTGGAACAGTTTATATGCAAGACACATTTGAATCCATTTTCATCCTGAAGGTAAGCCATTTTGTCTAGCTTTATGTTGACTGTTGGAAAACATGCATGCAACCTTGGGCCTCTGCAGTAGTTCACTATATTTTATAAAGTAGAAGCATATGTTTTACCCTACAACCTAATAGGTTATCAGAATACAGTGTATTTCATTGGATTTCCCAGGGAAAATTCCACTTACTTGACAGTCCCCATCTTCATTTAATAATATATAGTACTGAGAATGATTACAAAATTGACCTATGAAATTATTTTAATTTTCAGATTTTTAGCTATAATATTCAATAAAAATACAAACACACATTACTCATAGTCAAATAGATCCATTTACTATATATCTTAATGCACATATCAAGGTGCTAATTGGCTCGGTCTCATAAAAAGTATAGAATTGATGTCTCAGGTAAAAATCAATAATAATTGATTAGCCTTGTTTGTTGACACATTTGTACTGTAGTTCAAGTGACATTATTTCCTGAAATACAAATTTCCTCTTTGTTATCAGGCCACCTATTTTTAGTATCCTATAAATGGACAAGCCACATTTTAGAAAAGAATTCATTTTGTAGATGACCTTTGTTTTGTTCTTATATTGTCTCTTATGCATAAACTGCATGAAGATGTTCAGGACTTTTTTGGTGATTCCAATAAAAACCAAGTGAGAAGCTTCCTCCAGATTCAGGTCACCTGTGAGTGTGACACCCCCTTTCTCCTTGATGGGGTACAACAATTTATGGTGGTTCAAGCAAGTGTTTGGTTCACTTCAGCCAATCATTTTAAATTATGCAAACACAAATTTTGGCACTGATAATTTAAATGTGTTTATGGCTATATAAATTCAAAATGGCAACAACAAGCAGCTTGCATTTGCAAAACACAACACACCTGGACCATTTCTCTAGCATTAGCTATAATCAGCAAAGCAACTGATCAATTTTCAGATTCTTATAGACTTTCTAATGACAGGCTTAAACAGTTTTTGCCATGCTCAGTACCAATGATTTGTGTTCAGGGACAACTTTTGATCTGTTAGTATCTACAAATTCATGATTGATCTCATTGCTGGACCATTCAAAGTGATGGATGATAAGATGCTGATGTCACATGCATTATTCTGTTGAGAATCAAAAATTCTCCAAATTCACCACGACTAAACAAGCACCTCAGACAATCCATGTGTTGCAAATGTCTTTCAAAGCTTTTCTCTCATAGACTCCCAACTGAAAGTTTATCTTCCTGTTGGAACTGTCATACAATATCAGGGCCCACTTGTTTTTGGTTACTTAAATATTGTTCAATATTTTCTGCAAGCCCATACAAGTGGGCAGAGCTTCTTGCTTCTTCATACAGATCATTCTAATATGCAACATGTAACATTTTTTAGGACCAGATTTCTCAGGGACTAAGATCTAACGCACAACTTTAGAACACCATAGCAAAACACCTCATATCATGTTTTTTTTTTCTTCTTGTAAATCGGCAGAAATCTGATAAACCCAGAGATTATCGTCCTATTAGTAAAAAAAAAAAAAAAAAAAAAAAACTCTTTTTGGCAAAAGTACTAGAGTTCTAATCAACTCTGAAAAAAACTGGAGGTGTTCTTGAAAACAACCTCCAATCAGTTGTTAACTGAAGCAAGGAATGGCTTGTAAATTTTAATTTTGGCTGATACTAAATTCCAGGTGAGGAACTCATTACGCTTTCTTGGTCTGACTAGAAGTGGAGAAATTCTACTGAATCAGTTGCTAAATCTGCTGCTAAGAAAGTTGGTTCATTGAATACATCTTGCTCATTTCTAAATCTACCATTCATACATATTGCTACCATATCTGGTCTGGTTTTCAAGCTATATATCTCAAAATTCTTGACAAAATCTAAACAAGGGCCAGTCATGTTACTGATACTAGCCTTGCATCTCAACTTCAGTCACTTTCCCTCGACTGTGACTTCACTGTGTCTTTTCTATAAATATTTTCATGGCAGTTGTTCTAATTCCAGTTACATCAACCACATGGTGTTAAGTGTACCACTTGATTGGCAACTAGGTCTCACCGTTTTACCATTGAAATAGCTACCTGTAACAATTAAGTTCTATTCTAATTGTTTCTTTTATCGCACATCTCGCATGTAGAACTCTCTTCAGGTTTCTTGTTTCTCTGCCACCAATGCTCTACAAAAGTTTAAATGCAATATCAATCGCCATCTTCCCGAAACATGTCCTTTGAACTTTCTCCTCACTAAAGTTTCCTCATTCTCTTTCACTCTCAGTAACTCCTGGCGACCTAGTGGTATTATCGCCTTGCTTGAAATGAAATGATTAAATTTTTTTTTTTTTTCATTCAATTGATCAGACTTATGTTTAAGCTAATAGTTATATGCTGATAAGATCAAACTGAATTGCAGAATATGTGCTGCTGTTAAACTTTGCATAGTTTTTTTTAGTTCTAACAATCCTGTGAGTTTAACAAATTTTTTACCTCAGCCACCACTAATGCTGCCACAAATATTCATTAACATTTTGGGATTCACTCACAGCATAAAATTGGTTGTTGTAGTTCTTTTTCTATAGTTGTTAAGTGTTAATGATGCATAAACAATTGTTTCTTTCTTTTTTTTTTTCTGCAGCATTTTACATAACATCACCTCAACTCTGTATGGTGATGCATCACAAATGAACTTGATTGGAATGGATCCACAACTCAGCATCCATCAGTAACTTTTTTAATTTCTTCCCCTTATCACAGATTCAAATAATTTATTAAGTGGCCTGTCAATAAATTAGGAAGCTGCCTATTATACTAATTAATCATACCTGAAACAGATTCTGTTTAAGTAATGTTTGTCAAGGTTGGTTCTTTGTGTCAACCTGTATCAACTGACCTCAGTTATGAAATAAAAAATCTAACATAGCAATAATCAAAGTTCATTTCATTTTTGAATCTGTTCTTTCAGTTATTGGTTCACCATTTTAACTGATACTTCCAAACCTTTTCTCCTTGAATATAACTTTCATTTCTGATATTTTTAGTAGTTTCAGTTGCACAAAGATGCCAATATTATGCAGAAAGCAAAGATGTTCAGGGTATTTTTTGCCAATAAGTCAAGTTAAGCAGCAGCTTCTTGACTCAATTCACTTCCAAGTGTTACTAGTTTGCTTTGGATACACGATAAAAAAAAAAACACTCTTCTCATTGGCAGGGCATAATTTATGATAGTGAAAGCCTGGGTTACGTCAGACGATCACACAAAAGTATAAAAATAAATCCAAAGTTTGGTGTTGATGCCAATAATTTACATGTGTTTGTGCCAGTTCAAATCCAAAATGGCAAAAAGAATCAGCCTGAAGTTCTACAACAGGAGCATATTTATAAAATTGGCTTTTTTTTTTTTTTTTTTTCAAATAAATCACATTTGTTCTTTTTGTCTCTAATCTATAATTGTCTGTATTTCAATTTTTAAATCATTAGCTTAGACAACCTCAATTCTAAGCAACAAAAGCAAAATTGTCATTTTTAAGCACATTAAAACTTATGTAGCTCATATGATTTCGCTGTTTTTGATTTGCTTTTTGGCACTGATAAATATGAACTTTTTAAAAACCCAACTGAAGAGAAAAATAGTTATTTGATATCAATGAACACTTGTTGTCACCTTTGTGATGTCAACGAATACACGTTGTCACCTTTGTAATGCTTGTTGTAATAGAGACTCTGTAATCACAGATACAACTACAGTACGCCGTTGAACAATGCTGGTGTCAGACACCTTCAAATAGCACTCGCAATAATAGCACTTGCTCAATAATACTCATTTGAAGAGTAACCACCGAATAGAGAAATAGTATAGTGAACAGTATATAGAATAGTGATCTATATAATAATAGATAGAGGATAGAGTAGAAATAGTGATCCAAATAGTAACAGAGGATAGAACAGAAATGGCGATCAATTAGACACCAAGCTAATTCCCATATATACATTTCCTCTATGGTCACGTGATTCAATAATGGGATCACCTGTGTTTGATCACTGGTGATCTATTTTTCCTATATAATAAAGAGAAATAAAATTGTTTTTCAATTTAAAAAATGTATTTTAATTTTTTTTTTTTCCATCAGAAAACTGTTACTAAAAATATTTATCAGAGAAAATACAAATAAACAACAAAAAATATTTTGACACACAACTGTCTGTCTTGGTCATTTACCAATAATATATCATTATCATGTATAGACATTTTCATTCTACCACTGTCTGTCCATTTATCAACTGCAACAATGATTTATTTTTACCAATAATTCCATGAAATGAAATAAAAACTCAAGGAAAATACTGGTAAAACTTCAAAGAATTAGCTGTCAATGATCATAAATCATTCACCACTCACTGTTTTCAATTAAATTAATAAGACACGGTAAACAAGAAAGTCTTTTTGTTTTTTTTGTAAAAAAAAAATTAAATTGAATATTTTCGCTTTTTATATTTCTTTGATAGTTAAAAGTAATTTGCCTGAGAGGCCAACAATATAAAAAACAACAAAAATAAAGGCAAGAAATTATACAAGTCAAGAAATATAAAATAAGTAAATTACCTGAAGACATGGATGACTTGAAATTGTAGACTGTGTTGTTGTCTTCATCACTATCATCATCAAAATCATATTGACTTTTAGATTTAATTTTCACACGACGTGGCATACTGGTCACACTGAATAAACAAAAAATATACTTTTGATATTTTTCCAATTAATAAAATTTTATTTTGTTTTTATTTTACAACTTTTATCAGCAAACAGAAAAAAATAAATAAAACATTTTCTACAAGTGAAATACAAATAATAATATACTATATATGAATGTATATATATATATATATATATATATATGAATGTATGTAGAGAAAGAGAGAGAAATCAGTCATTAAATATGGCAAATAAGTAAAGTTTAATTAATTTTTTTAATTTAGTTTTCCCAGCATTCTTGTGTTTTCCTGTTTGCTGAGAGTAAGGAAGTAGAAAAATTTCCCATCATGTCCATTGTCCCAAATGCTTTCAGCCACTTTAACTATTTTCAAAGGAGTTTTACTTTGGGTGTGGCTAGTTTTCTTTCATGTTTTGATTGTCTAAATTGGATTTTATTTTTGTGTTGTTTGGAATAGGATCATTTATTTTGAGCCCTTGTGTGTTAATTAAATTTTCCTTGTCTGTGATATCTAATGAAAAATGCTTAAAAGAAAGATTGCTGTATATATCAATAAATAAATCAATAAATAAATAAATAAAAGGTATGCTATTTATAGGGTGACTGTGTCTGATATTGAGGATAGACCAAATATAAATGTAAGAAGTAAAGACACTGTTCTCAACACCAAATGACATTTTGTTCTTTCATGCTTGGATACAATCGAGTCATGTGCTGACTTGTAGCTCAACAATATATGTTAGTCATTGTGGCATTATGAGTAGTAAGATAGTTATTTCCAATTTATTGTGTCATTCTCACAGATATTGAATAAGTGGAAATGATTATTTTAATTTTTTTTAATTATATTTTTCTTCATTATCTTCTATTTTAACATTGGCTTGGTGATTTTCTCAGTGCAACTGTGGCTGATTTTTAATGTAATGATACAAGTAATAAAAAAGCACAACCGAAAAAATAAACAACAAATCCCACCTGTAACTGCAGAGAAAGCATAAATGTCCCTTAAATGACAATTGCCTGCAAAGCAATATAATATAGCAAGCCAATGTAAAAACAGCAGATAACAAAAAAAAATACACATAGGAGTAACTGAAGAAATCTGAAAACTAAAACTATACACACTAAACACCTTTTAACAACAGTAAATATGAGAACACCACAATATTCTCTAAACATATAACTGATCTTGCTACCTATAATGCCCCATAACTAACTAGTTGAGCTACAATTCAACCCACATGGCCTGAAAACTACATACAAGCATGACTATTGCAATTAGGTGTTGTCATCAGTATACACACATTATATACAGAATGCGATGGATAAATTGTCACCATTTTATATTTTTCATTTCATGCATGCATGTTTTTGATTTTGTCAACTGCAAACCATAGTAGGGTCATTTGGGCACCATCTGTAAGAAAAAGGGCACCATGATGCAATTCAGAAATTTGGAAACAGCATGCTGTACTGCTTGGCATTCGTGCCAGAAGCTACAATACAAACATTTTAGAATGTTTTGGTGTCAATTCGAAGGCAGTGCAGAGGATTTAGAAAGAGTTGGATGAGTCTAATGGTGATTACAAAGATGTGTAAATACATTTTAACCAAAAATGTGTCAGTTTCAAACACAGATGAATAAACACATCCAAAACATAACTTTCAAAAACCAGCTACAGATGTGTTTGTACATCGATCTTGATTCTTTTTATACTCTTCAGAGTCCAAGTGTCAACTCATACATCTAGTATAGGTGCTAGCCACCACTCATGTACTTCAAGGTAGCTCAGTTTGAAAATGAAGCATTAGCAGGGAAGGGGGTTAAACAAAACTTACTTGACTAATTTAGAAATTGAACTGCTGCTACTGCCACTACTGTCAGTGTTCCCATGTGGCTTGTTGCAGTCTGGGGTCATGTGGTGAGTCAGCAATGATGATGAGGAGGAGGATGTTGTGAGTGGGGGTTTCTCAGCAAGACCATGAGAAGCAGTAGAGTGGATGTTTGAGATTCGCCGATCAGTCACTGAATGGATGCTAGACAAACGCCGGTCAACAACATTATGGATACTTGATAGGCGGCGGTCGGGGCCAGATAAGATGCTGGACAAACGTCTATCAGAGGAAGGAAAATTCCCAGAGGACCCCCATTTTTCAGAGAGGAGGCTTCCAGATACCCACTTCTCTGAAGAGCCAAAAGGATCAGGGGGCTGGGAATTTTTCTCTGAAGCTGTATGAGGTACGCTTTTGATACGACTGATTACTGGACTGTAAGGAAAAAACAAAGAAACATCATTTTTATAGTAATATTCAAAAGTATTATTTCGTTTTCTACTTAAACTGTTAGCGAAGCCAAATAATGATTATACAAAATTTTTCTTTGTTTATATCTTTACACAAAGTAGACATTCCTGCTTACATCTAAAAAGAAATAAATTTTCGGTTACATCCACATATTTACAGATCTTTTTTTTTTTTAAATAAGAATCCATATCAATGTCAATGATTTCATTATAAGCAAAAAAGTCCTTTTATCATTACAAATTTGTAGATAGAGGAATGTTATTTTTTATATTTCCACAAGGCAGTATAAAACTAACTGAATTATTATCAATCATTTATTCACAACAACCTCTTTTCAGATAATATTTTTAACATATTAACAATCATTAGGGGTCATCTTAAATTAACCCTTTCTTTTCATGTTATAAAGCATTATTTAGTTATTTGGGGTGTTGATTTTTTTTTATTTCTTGAAGAATTGGAGACATGTTAAAATTGTCAAAAGAAGGTGGTACTATTCCTCTTAAGCAGCCAGTTTTTCAATCAACTCTTATGAAAGGGTATTGTTCATAAGTTTAAGATGTTCAGCATAAAACAGAATTAGTAATAAAAATTAATAAAATGGTTTAAAAGCCGACTTGATCACTCATCTTAGAAGACAGACAAACTGAGAACAAGTAGTAGGCCAAGTTACACTAGATAACTTCAAAGAGTCAAAGAAGTCTTTCTGCTTGCACACAGTTGATGTCTAGAAATAAAAAGAAATTCCAAAAATTCTTTAAAGTAAAATGATCAAAGTTCCACACTTAGAATATTAAATCTGTTGAATGAAAAAGTGTCGGCACAGTCAGGATTATCAATGTGTTCGCCAGTTGCTGAATCTGAAATATTTATTATTGCTTGACACAATTGACCATTCCTGATTCAAAGAAGGACATGTTGCCAGATTCTCCATTTCAGTACTTGTGAGGTGCATTCAACGCATCCAAATTCCCACTGGTATATAATTGAATAAACAATGAAACATTTTAGGGAGAAAGAAACATGATGCTTGCTGACAAATGAAAATGGTTTCCTACGGTCAAACACTAGGTGCGGATTCAATGCAGGAAAGCGACATGTAACAGACTCGGTGAGTTGTTGAGTAAACCAAAGGCTAATATTACCCAACCAAAGTAAATTCAGATAAACCAAGCCCTTAGGAGGCCCAAATATTTTGTCAGTGGAAAAAAAAAAGAATTTCTTTTCTGGTAAATATTTAACACCATGTTATTCCTTTTCTAATAAGTCATTTTCATTTATTTTCTATTCTTTCATAAGAATTATTTCTATTATGATTTTTACATGATGCACATTGTTTGCAAAGTATCAGACATGATGCCAAGACATTATATCAAAGTTCATTTATGACTACAACTCAAGTAAAAGAAAATTATTTTGTAACCGGTAAAGAAATATGATATTTACGCTTGAGAAGCCATGATGTCAGTCAGAAATTTGTTCTTATTACTTCCTTCAGGTAAACTCATGCTGCTGGTTAAGGAAGGTTTTTCTTCTACCTTTTCATTTTCTAAAAGAAAAAAAAAAAACAATCATCACATCAGTTGTGTGTCTGCAGGTGTAGATATAGATAGACACAAACATACAAAATAATTTCTTTCAAGGGCATGGCAACTCATGAGAATTATTCTTTCTGATACAGCAATAAAAAAAAAAAAAAAAAAAGTAATAATACTCCTTCTTCTCTCCCCTTCATTGAGATCTTCTTTGAGTTGATAGGTTGAAGTAAAACTAATTTAATAAAAATGAACTTGTATTAAAAAAGTAAATTCTATGGAACATTTATGTACACTAGTAAAATAACTCATAATAACCAATTTAAAATAGATTATTGTGGACCCCATTAATGTTAAATGGACCCTTGCATGGACCTCGGTTGAGAACCACAGGTTTAAACTAATTCCAACATTACATTATTGGGAGTTAAATATTCAAAAAAAAAAAAAAAAAAGAAAAAAATAGTGGTATATGCAAAAGGGGATAGGTCCGACTGATTCCCATGTTCTAGTGTTAAACAAAGAAAGTTACAGATTCAGAAAGAAAGAAATGTCTAAAGTTACAATGCTATCCTTTATATCCAAGCCAATATTTCACATCTATGTTATCATGTATGTATGTATGTATGTATGAGAAGTAATTACCTCACATATTTAACTGCACTATTTACATATGGATTATGAAAGACAAGCATTTAAAATGAAAGTCTAATGTCATTCCCCAATAAAAAAAAAATAAAAAAAAGTTTAATACTAAAGATTTTTTTTAATGTGTGCTTTCTTTGTAATCCTATTTTCTTCTGGTTTTCAGAATTATTTTCAACCTGTGACATTATTGCACATATTCATAAGGATATCAAGTTCAAAGTTTCAATAAAACAATCTATTGTATCAAATACAGAAAAAACTGACATTTATAGAAAAATAAGCTGTATAATAAAAGAAATTCAATACAACTATATGAACAACAATTTCTTCGTAACATTTTAACATGGTACATATATATATATATATATATATATATATATATATATATAAGAAATAAAATTATGTCATTTTAATTTCAATCACTCATTTTAAGATAAAAATCAGAGAAATTGCTACACATACATTTCAATTGACTAATGAAGGAAAAAAAAAACCTCTGCATCTGATTCAAATGAACCTATCAAAAAGGCATCTTCATCTATTGAGACAGAATCATTTTTTTAATCCCCATTAAATTGCATGAGAAGTGTCCAAATCAATACAAGAAATGTAATAGGGTAACTTCATCAAATAGGTTGTTATGGAAGAGATCAAAGCAGTTGAGATGACAAACTATTTTGAATTCTGAGATGTCATTTCATTTGCTTAATTACCAATAATTACTGATCTGTGGATTACATAACCAAGAATGCTATATGAACAATCTGCAGCCCATTATCAAAAATAGTTGATTTTCAGTTATAGAATGGACACCAATTTGGGCAATGGAATTTCAAAGTTACCAAAATGTGTTGATTATATAATTTCCAAAAAATACATCTTCTTCAAAGGAACTATTCCCAATTTAAATGGTGATAATTAACTGACATCTACAAATATGTTTTCCAACAGGAAGCCTGTCAGACATGTCTGCCATTTTGAATCATGAAATAAAAGAAAATTTCCAATAAGCCTTTGACAAAGATTTGTTCCATTTACAACGAGAAAATTTCATATCTGATATGGGACATCTCATGAGAAGATAGCCGATCTGATATGAGACATCTCATGAGAAGATAGCCGATCTGATATGAGACATCTCATGAGAAGATAGCCGATCTGATATGAGACATCTCATGAGAAGATAGCCGATCTGATATGAGACATCTCATGAGAAGATAGCCGATCTGATATGAGACATCTCATGAGAAGATAGCCGAGAAGATATGATAGACATCTCATGAGAAGATAATCTCGATCTGAGATATGAGAAGAGATCTGATATCTCATGAGAAGATAGCCGATCTGATATGAGACATCATGAGACATCTCATGGAGAAGATAGCCGATCTGATATGAGACATCTCATGAGAAGATAGCCGATTCGATATGAGACATCTCATGAGAAGATATATGAGACATCATGAGAAGATCTGATGATGAGACATCTCATGAGAAAGATCTGATAGCCATGAGAAGATAGCCAATCTGAGAAGAGATCTGATATGAGACATCTCATGAGAGAAGATAGCCGATCTGATATGAGACATCTCATGAGAAGATAGTCGAGAAGATAGCATCTGATATGAGATCTGAGAAGATAGCCCATCTGATATGAGACATCTCATGAGAAGACAGTCATCTGATGAGATGAGAAGATAGCCGATCTGATGATATGAGAACATCTCATGAGAAGATAGATCTGATACTTAGACATCTCATGAGAAGATCTGATATGAGACATCTCATGAGAAGATAGCCGATCTGATAATGAGACATCTCATGAGAAGATCTGATCTGATATGAGACATCTCATGAGAAGATAGCCGATGAGATATGAGAAGACATCTCATGAGACATCTCATGAGAAGAATCTGATATGAGACATCTCATGAGAAGATGTATCTGATATGAGACATCTCATGAGAAGATAGCCGATCTGATATGAGACATCTCATGAGAAGATAGCCGATCTGATATGAGACATCTCATGAGAAGATAGCCGATCTGATATCTAGATCCTGATATGAGACATCTCATGAGAATCGATCTGATATGAGACATCCATGAGAAGAGATAGATCTGATATGAGACATCTCATGAGAAGATACATCTGATATGAGACAGAGAAGAGAAGATAGCCGATCTGATACATCTGAAATTTGAACTTGAAAATTTGCTCAAAACAAATCCAGTAAATTTTAATTAGCATACCATTTTTGAATTGTTCCAACCAGTGAATAAAGACCATCATTTCATTTACTTCTGCAATGTCATTGTGTGTGGAGTCATTCATTTAAATATTCAGATATTATTTTCAATATCTATGCAGAACCACATAGAAGTAATAATTTAAAAATTAGCAAGTCAGTTTTCAATAACTTTTATGAGACTGTTTTTATTTTCTTGCCTGTATACTTTGACATTATCATACCTGAGCAAAATTTACACTCAATCTTTTTCAGAGAATTAATTAAAATACTACACTATTATTTTTAGTCCTAAAAGAAAATAAAGTACATAGTGAAAATAACAGATAAAAACAAATTTTATCTTTTTGGTTGAATTTGAATAGAAACTAATTTGGTTAGTCTTCAACTATTTTCATGTTATTTAATTTTAAAACAAAAACAAAATTAAGCATTTGTAAATTTGCATTATTTTGAGGTTTAGAAGACTTTCAAAAGAAACTGTATGTAAACTAACTTTGTTCAAAGTATTGTGCCTTCTCATCTGCTGTGAGCAGGTAGGATTTGCCTGCATTAAGATTTTTAATGGCCTTTTTCAAGAGATTAACAGGTTCAGCACCAAATATTTCAGCCTTCTCCAAAATCTTCTGACACTTGGCCTTGTTGCCTGCAACAATAGCAAAAATAAGAACAATTAGGGACAATCACTTTCGAGTGTTTTTCTTTTCTTTCTTTTTCTCCTCTTTCAATAAAGATAGAAATTTCCATGATATATTTGCCAAATTTACATTCCTTTTGTTCAAACATTTTATTGCAAACAAGAAAGAATTCTGAAAGATGCCAACATTTATGAACTCGGCTCATCTTTCAAATATAAATAAAACCACTTGTATCAATTATTACCATTTATAAACATCTAATACTTTCATTCAAAAACAGTGAATTGTGGATGAAATTCTGAATATACTTTTTTTACTCTATTTACATTACTCGGACTATTGTACTCATCTTTGTTGCCATATTTATCACAACGTTTTGGCCGTTGTACACTCTGGCCTTCTTCAGGTGGTTGGAATAAATATTAATAAATTGATATAGTTGGTTTTATTTATCAGAACCGGGGTCATACAGAATACAAAGTTTTTGAATAAGTTGCTTAAAATCTTATCTTTTACTGTGCATCATTCTTAACAAACTTCTGTTCCTCGCAGATTTGCAAGTTTATATTTTCATATATTCTTTGCTAATCAAGACCAATTTTAATCTTTAACACTCTACATTATTCATTACTTTCCTTTCTACTGCTTTGTTTTTCAAGGCTCTTCTACTGCATGATTTAATTTCAGTCATGGTCATTTTCTGTTGCCATAGCAGGATATGACAACACAGCTGCATAATTCAAACACACCATCATTCATTCATCTGAGTTACTTGCAGTAGCAGGATAAAATTTTCACTTTACAAGCAAAATTACTTTTTTTCCACCTTATATTCTCCATCATCTTATAATGAGAAATAGAATTCAAAGTTGTTTATAAAATACTGGAATTTTAAATTTATTGTTACACTGACAAATATTTTGAACATACAGAATGGCTTTCATATTTTACAAGTTCATAATGTACAAGTGAATTCTTTTTCTAAATACAACCATTACAACTAGTTATGCTGTTATCTTTCAAGGAAATTTACAATTGAAACTTAATGTTAATTACATGAAAACAAATAGCTGCACCTGGTTCTGATATTCTTTTGTATATTTATTTTATACTAGCAGTAGAGCCCGGCGTTGCCCGGGGATATAACAGTAAGAGATAGATCAAGTATCCACTATCATAAAGACTGAAAAATAAAATTGACAAAGATTATTGTTTAAGGTTGACGGACACGCATGTCTTAATTAGTTTTTTTTTACAAATTGGTCAAACCCAAACTCAAACAAAACATTGTTTTCAATCGCTTATGAGTCTCCCGATTGAATAGAATTTTATTATAAATAATTGTCTTGTAAATGGAATTTTAAAGCATTCTGAATGTTAAAAATAAAGAAAAAGTGTGCAAGAGAATAAGAAACACTACCTGCCAAAAAAAAAAAAAAAAGTGAAGTTTTGTTTTATCGGCTGAAAATATAGGAAATCCGCTCCCATATTTAAAGGAACCCACACACACAAACAACCCGATGTGAGTTGTCCCCCTTCCATTTTCACAATGTCTCTTAATCGTGTTTTCAAATTGATTTTGTGCAAAAACAATTATATTTTTCCCATTTTTGGCGCTGTTAGAACCACCACAAGGTAATTTTATGTAGTCCTGTGAAGTTTTGTTGAAATCGATTGAAAAATGTAAGATTTTTATCGTTTTGGTGGATAAATAATGCAGATAAACTTTTTTGTTTTTAGACAAAATGCAACTGGATTTCCAAGATAGCAAATGAATTGTATTTCTTAGAAGTCATGCAAAAAGCCTTTTCTTTAAGCTCATCTCAAAAGATCCCCACTAATAATAAAGATCCATACCACTAATAGTAGTTGAAGATTAGAGCAAAGCACATTGTTTTATGTAAAATTTAATAATTCAATGTAAAAGTATTTCAATTCTAGCACTACAGAATGACAGATTTTAATGTACATTCAATATTTTCACAAAATTGTTATTAACCAATTGATGACTTTATAATTTTCAGGAGATATGGTAAATATACCAATGGTTTTATTAAAAATATTAGCAACATTTGTTAACAACAATTTATCATGCAATTCAAGAGTTGATCATCATATTGTGTGTGTGTGTGTGTGTGTGTGTGTGTGTGTGTGTGTGTAAAATATAGACAATGAGATTCATTTTTTAATTTCAGATATATAAATTTTACCATGGATCAACGATATAAGCTCAAAAGAAAAACAACATAAAATTATTGATTGATGGGAACACATCATTGGAAATTACAAAAATGGTGAGCAGGTATTAGAGAACAATCTAAAGATAAATTGAAAATATTGGCAAGAACGGCAAAAAATGTTTTTAAGAATATCACAAGAGATTAGAGAAAAATTAAAATGGTAATAAGAATGATAATTTTGAAAAGCTAGTGTTATGAATGTAGGTACCACCATGAAATTGTTAAAAAAAATCGGCATACCATAACAAAAACATCATTTTAGCATCAAAATCTTTGTTATTATTAACAGGAAGGATCAGTTTATTGAATATTTAATTAAATTTTTTACTCCTTTTTAGAACATTTGAAATTTTGATTAAAACTGTTGTTTTTCTTGTGTCAGCAAATGTATTATATTTTAGCATAGCAAATTTTAGCTTCTTTTTTACAGTGAAGACACATTAATTTGGAAATTCTTGCAAAAATTAAATAATTGTCAGATTTTAATTAAATTTTCAGGACTTAGTTACAAATGAATAAAATTATTTTTAAATTTTTTCTTTTATTAGAAAATCTTGGTAAAAATATTTTTTCTTTTAAAAATATTTTAATTTTATGAAAACTTGAGAAATTCAACTTGATAATTTTTAGTGACTATATTAGTTAAAAGCAGAATTCTTTGAAGAATTTAAATCACTAATTTCTTTTCTTTTTTTCTTTTTTTTCAAAATCAGACTTCATCTTACCAAAAATCTGCTCTGAATCAAAAAATAAAAAAGCACTAGAACTAAACATTTTAATTAGAGAAACTTTTAATTGCTTTTATGAATAATATATATTAAAGACAATATTGTCTAAGAAAAAAAATTTTTCAATGAATTTATAAAATTTGTTTTAATTTTTTTTAAATTTTAATTAAATAAATTTTTAATATTTTTTAAAATTCAGTTTCAATGGTGTAACTCTTAGGAAAGATAGTTAAGTAAAACTATATTTACTAAACATATATCATAAAGCAATATGACGACCTTAAACATTAGGTATTGCAGAGGTCACTATATAAATGTAAAGAGAGAAAAGAGGCAAAATTATAAAAACATTGTCTAAAGACACAAAGATGCCCAAATTACCACGTTTAAGTAAGCATCACAAAGAGAAAAATCTTGAAAGTTGAATGAATTAGTACATGAAAACTGATCTTTCAATGGCAATGTTTAGTGATCAATGTAGAGCTAAATTTGAGGAATGGCTGTGTTGAGTTTCAGTCCTTCATAGGAACAATCAAACAAAATGATTTAAAAGAACAACAGTGAGGAGATAATGTTTTTGGCAGCAAAATTATAGAACCCATCAAATTTAATAACACTTCCAAATGAATGAAGAGAATTCTGGTAAGTTCCCAGAAAATATATTTTTTGAATAGTGCAGGTCACAACCAAAAAGTTTTAAGCAACTCATGCATGATAATGTGTCTTCAGTTTCTCCAAAACTAATCCTTGCACACTTTACCAAAAAGAAAAAAAAATGTTTAAAGAATAAATGGAAGGACTTGTAGCCTCTCCAGATAATAACCTAATAAAAAATTAAGAGATGTACATGAGAATGGAAGATTCTAGCAAAGAAGACCCCTGGAAAGCAATAAAAACTGTGATATGTAATGCAAAAATCAATCAAAACAGCAGGTAACAAAACCAATGAAGGTTTAGAATGTCAAGGAATCCATATTAACATGGAAAAATAACAATTTATTCAAGTATATGGAACACTGTTAATCAAATACACATTCCCATGGCTGATGTCGGTTGGATTTACTTATCAATAAAAATATATGTTGCACTTTGTTTGCATGAGAAAACATGACTTCTCAAAACAAGTTCTTAATATTTTTAATAAGGATAAGTATTATAGACTGAAACTCAGACAATACATTGCATATATAAATATATTCTGAGAATCTTACTAACATTGGTTAATAGCAAATATTGACTTAAATAATAAAATTTGACAGTATATAAATCAATACAAAATTCAATCATATAAAAGTTGAAAATTTTTAAGTATTAAATAAAAAAATCCATGAAATATAGACTTGGGCCTCAGTACTTTCATATCATCAGCACTTTAAGTTTTTCCTTTTGATTCAACTGTATTATATGTTAGATTTGTAGATATAGCTACCTAAATCTAAACATATTTCAATATTCATAATGAATCAAGCCTTTTCTATACATGTGTACATGATAATAAATTATACAAAAATAAATTTGATTATTTGAAGTGTTAAAAATGAGTATAAATTTATTGATCAATAAAAAGCTTTTATTTATTGAAAAGGAAAGTCACTAATGAAAGAAAAATAATATTTGCCATTTCTTGAGCAACCAGAAAGTCAGAAAAGCTACCAGATATATAAAAAGAAAATATTTTATTAAAATGCATTTACCATTGCCACAAATATTCAAATATGATCAAATTGTCAAATATAAATTTTAAGAAATATCAGTTGACAACTTTTCCCACAGTTGTCAGCTCCTGCTAGAAGAAATATATAAAAACTTAAACTACCATTCCAAGAATAGACAGCCACAATGATTTACAAAATCTAATAAAGATTTACATTCAAAATAGATTTTTTATTTCAGGTTTTGATTTAGAAAAGTCACAATTTACCAGCAAGAAAAATTCAAGAATAAATAAAAAAAATAAAAAATAGTTAATTCTTCATACAGGATTTAATCTGATAAACAAAACTAATATCTTCTCAGACATTATGAGAAGAAAAGAAAAAA